ACATACAGGTGGTCAGTATACATATGAAAATATGCTCAACATAAGTAATCATCAGAGCAATATAAATTAAAATTACAATGAGATATATCACCTCACACCTTTCAGAATGGCTATCATCAATAAATCAACAAAGTAGAGACTTCCGGCCAAGGTGGAGGCATAGGTGGAAACACTGTACCTCCTCATACAACCAAGTTTAGGAACAATAAATATTTAAAAACCAGAACGCAACTAAAACACAGAGAAAATTAAACTGTACCAAAGTCCAACAAAAACGAACCATTCATCCAAACCGGTAAGAGGGGCAGAGTCAGAGGATCATGCAGGAAAAAGCGGCTGGACCTGACCCAGGTATGCAAGCAGTGGTTGGCAGATGCCAGGCAAAGGGTGGCAACAGGAAGACCCAGTGAGGGCGCAAGGTGGCTGACTGACCACGGGCACACATTCACGCGCAGATAAGGCAGGTGAAAAAATGGACAGTGAGACACACTGCACAACACAGGGCCCCAGCACCAGGAAATAAAGCTTAAAAGCACCAGCTGGAAAAACTTTTGGAGGTTGAGGTGCCTAGAGAGGTTCCCAGGCTCACAGAGAGTTTGTTGGAGAGACCCACAGGGTTCTGGAGGGTTCACAAGCCCACACATCTGGGAACCAGCACCAGAGGGCTCAATTTGCTGGTGGGTCCCAGCAGAGGGGACTGAAATCCCAGAGAGCAGAAAAAAATGCCATTGCCCCTCTCTGACCCCATCGCCACATACAGCATCACAACCCAGCGACCTGGGTTACCCCACCCTGGTGAACACCTAAGGCTCCCCACCTCATAGGTAAAAAGCGCAAACAGACCAAAACATTATGGCTGAAGCAGAAAAACAGCTCAAAGCCCCAGAGCCAATAAATCTAAGCGGCAAAGAAATAGCCAAACTTTCAGATGCACAGTTCAAAACACTGGTGATCAGGATGCTCACAGAACTGGTTGATTTTAGTCACAAATTAGAGGAACAAATGAAGGATAAACTAATTGAAATGAAGGGAAATGCACAGGAAACCAATAGTAGTGGAAAGGAAACTGGGACTCAAATCAAGGGAGTGGACCAGAAGAAAGGAAAAAATGACCAAACAGAAAAATATGAAGAAACAAGAATTCAAAAAATGAGGAGAGGTGTAGGCACCTCCAGGATATCTTTAAGCTCTCCAACATCCAAATTATAGGGGTACCAGAGGGGAAGAGGAACAGTCATGAGTGGAAACCTTATTTGAACAAATAATAAAAGAGAACTTCCCCATTCTGGCAAAGGAAATAGACTTCCAGGAAATCCAGGAAGCACAGAGAGTCCCAAAGAAGTTGGACCCAAGAAGGAACACACCAAGGCACATCATCATTATATTAGCCAAGATTAAAATGAAGGAGAGGTAAGTCCCTTTAACATTTTATATAGTAAGGGCTTGGTGATGATGAACTCCTTGAATTTCATCTTATCTGAGAAGCACTTTATCTGTCCTTCTATTCTAAATGAAAACTTTGCTGGATAGAGCAATCTTGATTGTAGGTTTTTGGATTGCATGACTTGGAATACTTCTTTCCAGCCCCTTCTTGCCTGTAAGGTCTCTTTTGAGAAATCCTCTGACAGTCTGATGGGGACTCCTTTGTAAGGACAGAAAACTCACGGTTATTAACAACCACACCTAAAACAAAAGCAAATTAAGAGGACAGCTAGATCAGGAGTCAACCATAGAAATGAAGATCACATGGAGGGTTAGCAACAGGGGAGTGGGAGAAGGAGAAGGTACAGAAAATAAGTAGCATAGACAGTAGGTAGAAAATAGATAGGGTGGAAGATAAGAATAATAGGGGAAATATAGAATCTAAAGAACTTGAGACACATGTTCATGAACTGAAGGGGGGAGAATGGTGGGGGAGGGGTATGCAGGGTGGAGGGGAACAGAGGAGGGAAAATAGAACAAATATAATGGCATAATCAATAAAAAAGATTAAAAAATAAAATGAAAGAGAGTATCCTAGAAGCAGCAAGAGCTAAGGGACAGTCACCTACAAAGGATTTCCCATCAGACTATCAGCTGATTTCTCAAAAGTGACCTTACAGACAAGAAGGGGCTAGAAAGAAGTATTCCAACTCATGAAAGGCAAGGACCTACATCCAAGATTACTCTATCCAGCAAAGCTTTCCTTTAGAATGGAAGGGCAGATAAAGTGCTTCACCAAGCCCTTATTACATGAAATGTTAAAGGGACTTACCTAAGAAAAAGAAGATAAAAAATATGAACAGTGAAAGGACAGCAAACTCCGTTATTAACAACCACACCTAAAACAAAAGCAAATTAAGAAGACAGCTACATCAGGAGTGAACCATAGAAATGAAGATCACATGGAGGTTTAGCAACAGGGGAATGGGAGGAGGAGAAGGGGGAGAAGGTACAGAAAATAAGTAGCATAGACAGTAGGTAGAAAATAGACGGGGAGGGCAAGAATAGTATGGGAAATATAGACTCTAAGGAACTTGTGACACATGGACATGAACTAAAGGGGAGAATGGGGGGAGTAGGTGTGCAGGGTGGAAAGGAATGAAGTGAGGGAAATGGGACAACTGTAATGGCATAATCAATAAAACATTTTTAAAAAAACAAAGTATTGGTGATGATGTGGATAAAAGGAAACGTTTGTGTACTGTTGGTGCAAATTCAGATTGTTTGCAGCCACTCTTGAAAGCAGTTACCTCAAAAAATTAAAAATGGAACTACCTTAATGACCCAGCAATTCCACTTCCAAGAATTTATATGAAGAAACACAAAATATTAATTGAAAAGAATGTATGTACTCCTGTGTTCACTGCAACATTATTTACAATAACCAAGGTTTGGAAGTAGCCCAAATTTTCATCAGTACATTAGTGGGTAAAGAGGCTGTGGTATATTTACATAATGGAATACTACTCAGCCATTAGAAAGAAGGAAATTTTATCCTTTGTGACAGCATGGATGAATGGATGGTCCTGGAAAGCATTATACTAAGTGAAATAAGCCAGTCAGAGAAAGACAAGTACCATATTTCACTCATATGTGGAAGCAAAATAGAGACAGAGTCATACATAGAGAATAGGCTTATAGCAGTTGGGGTGTCGGGGCCAGTTGTAGTGGGGGGAATTGAGCAAAAAAGAAAAAGAGAAAAATCTCATTGATGCTGACAACAGTGTGGGGAGTCAGGAGAGATCCAGGAGGAAATAGGGCAAATAAATGGTGATGGAACAAGACCATCACCATTGGGGTGCTAAGCCCACAGTACACTATACAGATGATATGTTCTAGAGTTGTGTACCTGAAAACTGTATAACTTTGTTAATCACCCCAGTAAATTCAATAAAAAGGAAAAACTAGGATAATAGCTAAAAGTTCTCAGGCCACATATTGCAGGTCAGAGACCTCAATAAAGTCCCATTAGTCATGCTCAGAGCTAGTGGAGGGTGGATGCCTCCTCTAAAATGGAGCCACTCCTCTTTTCATGTACTGATATGGAAACACAGCTGGAGAGGGGTCTGAGCCACGGGAGCAGGAGCCAGGCTAAGCAGGACCTCACCATTGGTCAGATGTTGGTGTCCCAAGCAACAAGACCTGATTGTCCAGGAAGACTGTCCAAGGTGACATGGCTGTAGGGTGGAAGGTGTTGCATCATGTGCGTGTGGACTCTGGCATCACATAGCAGTGCTTGGCCATCAGATGTGTGACACACAGATTTGCCTCAGCCCTGTCTAGGCCGCATGTGGCAGCCTCTGTTCCCAAGCTCACAGTTCTCAGAGAGGAAGCAGGTGGAGGAAGGGTAGGGTGGTCTGGCTACATTTGGGTATTTGAGTTTCTCCATGGTGGCCATGTATTCTTGAGCTCCCTCTCCCCTTCTGTAAACAAGGTAAAATGCCTACCTTGTAGGGTTGTAAACTGCCCAGCACAGCTTAGTGAGCACCCAGTCCTTAACTCTTTGTGGAGCCCTAGGGACACAGCTGAGAGGAGATGAGGGCAGGTAACTGCTATATCCATAGGAGAGGCAGATGATATACAGACAAGTGAGCCCCTGCTGAAAAAGTGAGTACTGTTAGAGCAGGTAGTGGGCTGGCAAGGGAGGGAATACCATCTGGACAGAGCCCTGAGCAAGGGACCAGCCATGGAAGCATTGGGGGGAACTGTTTTTGGCAACTGGACAGGCTTGGAATGTTCAGGAAGAGCAAGGAGCCACTAAATTCTGTGATGAGGGATAACAGAAGGCTGGCGAGGATGATGTCCCTGCAGGTATGGCAGGACCACTGGAAGGGGCTGCTACTGCTCATTTCTGTGGCCCCAGATAGCAAATGCTTGTTCTGAATGGCCCTGGCTGGGGCAGAAAATAACAAGGGAAATAATCTTTCCCTGTGGATTCTTACAGCACCTAAGCCTAACAGGTCAGCTTGGGGCTAATTTTTTTTTGCCTCATCTTAAACTCCCTGAGATTCTGTTGCTGAGTCCTGAGGAATTATCTGGGCTGTCCCACCTCTTCTCTAACTTCGCCTTGTGTTTATTTCTGCAGAATGCATTTCCTAATTTCCTTCTTTGTCTGGCCATTACTGATTCAAGGGGAAAATATTAAACTTCTTTGGGTCTTGCACTAAGTAGTGCATGCTTACCAGTCAGGCCATTGTCTCTTGCACTGGGAAATGTTCTTTGCTCAAGGCCTTGGGTGGATGGTAGGAGAGGAGGTACCCAGGATCCTCAAGAAAGGGTCAAACTGGTATTTGAACCCAGTGCTTCTCACACGTAGTGAGGAGCAGTGCTGTGTGATCTTGGGAATTGTGCAATGGTGCTGTGCCTTTGTTTCCTTGTCTGTGAGCTGTTTATATCAGGCCTCAGTGAAATAGTGAAGAGCCAAGCACAGATTGGTGAGGTCAGAAAATGTTAAGATGAGTAGACATGCTTCAGGAGAACTTCATGCTCACAGGTGTCTCCCTGTTCTCCACATGCAGGTCCTGAAGGAGGGTGGCTGCCATACCAGCACAACATCGTCTCTCATGTCCATGTGCTCAGGCCTGCACCTCTTCTGCAGCATTGACAATGGCACCGGCTTTGCCTTTCCTGAGCAGCTCATTGCTCTGTGGGCCCAGGAGGGGATTCAGAATGGCAAAGAGGTCCTGCAGGTTTGGAACCAGTCATTCACAGCTTGTCCCAATGGGAGATGTCCAGGCTGTGTGAGGCTAGGCAGGGTACCTGGGGGGCTATCTGCCTACAGAGGAGGCTGGGCAGAGCACCCTGCAGACACAGGGTATAGGGAACCCCACATAGCATAGGCCAGTTGGAATTCCTTTTTAAAAAGAATTTTTTGCTATTAAAATATAGGAAATTTTCACCTAATAGATCATAAATGAAAAGCAGAGCAAACAACAGCCTGAAATGAATACACTTGAAGGTAGGTTTGTTTTTCTGGATGAGGGAGGTCAATCCCACAGGCAAGGTGGTGCAGACACTGTTCTTGTGGTGGAGATGTCTCAGTTGACATCACTGCCACAGAAATCTGAGCATTTCTACCCAGAGATGCTGGCCCAGCTTATTGAGCTCTTCTTCTTTCACAGCCCCTGATCACCCCACACCCTCATGCACTAGGTCAGGCATGGGGAGACTCGCTGCCCGGAGGCCTCCTCTCTAGCTCCTCCATGTTCTTTCAGGGGCTGGTCCAGGAGCTGTCCTCAGATAGGGACAAACCTCTTCCTAGGGGCCAGGCATACCTCCCTTGGGGCCATAGGGTTAGACCCTAGGAAAATGCTGGGGGGAAGTGTGGTGAGCTAGACTGATTATTTTCACTTCTAAATTTCATTTTCTATTATAACAAAAAATAACAACTCTATAGAAATCTATAAGATAGTAAAGCCTGCCCCTCACTTTGCTCCCATTCTCCAGGAGAGGCAACAGCTAATGGCTTAATGGGCATTCATTCTATAGAACTTTTCCTTGGTACAAGAAAGAAATATTTATTTAGACATTCAAGTTTTTAGAAAAATTGTAAAATTGGCATTATACTGCTTATTTTGCTAAGTTATCTTACCTTTTCTTTATTGTTGGTCATGTAGGTTTTTCCTATTATAAATCTGGTCATTGAAAATGCTGATATATGCTCCTGCTATAATGCTGGTATATCTGTATGCTAGATTCCTGAAATTACACATTTTAACTCTTAACAGGTTCTGTCACATTGCCTCCAAAAATGTCCTTATTAACATGCACCAACAATACATGAAGGATCCCAAAGACAGCCTTTAAGACAGTGTACCTGGCTCTTGGACCAGACGCTCCTAGGGCTAAACCAAGCTTTTGCCAAGTCTAGCCACCCAGCAGGCTTAGGCAGAACCCGAATGGCAAGGCCAGACCTGGACAGTTGATCCTTAAAACTTCTGAGGACAAGGGGCTGAGTCCAGATTACAGAAATTGGCCCTCAGGAAGGGGCTCACAGTTTTCAAATTCTCTCTGAAATCTTGTTCTTGAACCCCTGGCATTTGGAGGTGGGCTGGCTGCCATCACATTCTGACCAGTGGTAAGGCTCAACCTTGCCTCTGACATTTCATAGTTTACTCTTTTTATTGCTTTTCTGTTATCAGGGAATATTTCCCTCTTTTTAAAAATATATTGATTTGAGATAGAGAAAGGGACTGAGAGAGAGACATTGATTTGTTGTCCCACTTATTGCTACATTCATTGGTAGCTTCTTATATATGCCCTAACCGGAGATCAAACCTGCAGCGTTGATAATATCAGGACAACAGTCTAACCAACTGAGCTATCCATGCAGGACTGAAAATTTTCCTTTCTTTAGCAATTTATAATTCACCAGTTACATTCAGGATTTGATCCTATTATGTTGAAAGACAGTGATGTTTATTTAACTGGGCACCAAGCAAGGACTTGTCAAATGTGTGGCTGTGTTTACTCCTCATGCAGCCCTGAAGTTGTTTCCATCTCACTCGACAGGTGGGGTAACTGTCTGATGACACACAGACAGGGTGTAGGCACCAGCGAGTCTATCAAGTACTCTAGGTATCCTGACACACAAAATCAGAGCCCTTTTTGCCTGTGACTCTGGATAACTGCTTACCTATGAAATCAGTGGTCAGACCTTAGGCTGCTGGCTTCCTTGGAATGTGATACAAGAAAACAGGGAAGAGGCTGCCTGCATTCCATGCCCAAGCCTTGGAAGTCACATGCCCTTATTTCCTCCGCATGCTGTGGGTTACACAGCTCGACCCTATTCAGTGTAGGAGGGGAATACATAGCATAAATACTAAGAGGTGAGGAGCACTGGGACCATTATAAAAGCTAGTTCCCACCCATGCCATGGGGTTTTTGATGATTCCTTCTTAATCAGGAAGCTGCTGCTATGACTAGTTATGTCACTGCACTTTGTCTTGAGAGATTATTGCTGGGAAGTTTGCCCTTGTGTAATAAATGGTACCTTGAGCCTCCCAAATTGCTCCCTTAATATAATTTCTCTTCAGAAGCACTTTGGGAAGTGAGGAAGCAGTAGATATTCAAGTCTCCATTTTTTAAGTTTTAAAAAAGGGAACATCTTCCCTGGCTGGTGTAGCTCAGTGGATTGAGCATGAGCTTGTGAAGCAAAGGGTTGTTGGTTCGATTCCCAGTCAGGGCACATGCCTAGGTTGCAGACCATGTCCCTCCCTATTAGGGGACACATGAGAGTCAACCACACATTGATGTTTCCCTCCCACTCTTTCTCCTTCCCTTCCCTTCTCTCTAAAAATAAATAAATAAATAAATATATATATATATATTTTTAAAAAGGGAACATCCCCCATTCCTACATGTGATCTGGGAATGCGGTGACTCTTTCTCTGTAGGCCCTGATGGAGTGCCTGCCATGGACTAGTGTATAAATGTCATACAAGGAACCGAAAGTCAAGAACACTCAATGCAAGCCTAAAATGCAAATGCGGCAGAGTGCTAGTTGTTCATTGGTCAAGCAGAGGGCCATATGGGTGTTCTTCCTCCTCCTGTGGTATAATACCTAAATGAAAATTGTTCTTTTATTTTCAAAATCTGAGGGAAAAAGACTGCTTCACTCTCTGGAACTCTTAGCCATGGCTCATCTCTCTCTGATAGATATTTTTCCACAAACAGAATTACCTTATCCATACATATGTTTTATAGAGACATACCAGACACGATTCTGCTAGTGTGAAATGACAAAAACCCAACTTAAAATGGCTTAAGCAGAGAGGAGGCTCTTAAGGGCCCACCCAAGTGGGACTCAGAGGGAAAAAAAATGTCAGGTCTTGGGATTCTTGGATCTCCAGGTTGTTAGGAATCTGTTCTATCCCTCTGCTTGCTTCTTGGTGGTGTTGGCCTCAGGTCTCCTCATTCAGCTTCCTAAGACTCACAGGTCCTTACGGCAACTGATTTCACAAGGAAAAGGCCTCTTTCCCTCAGCATCCTGTCAATCCCCATGAAGTCCTCTACTTGGAACATGCCCCCTTTTGTTTAAGTCACTTTTCCAGGGAGGGGAGATCTGTCTAGCCTGGGCCATACCCACCCCTGAAGCAGTGACCATGAAGGAGGGAGAACTGGACATTGACAGGGATGAGGTGGGATTGGATGGGCACCAGAGTTATGTGGGGTGGGGAGAGTCATGCAGGAGAGGCACAGAGACTTTGCTGACTGAAAAGTGGCAGGTGCTGCCTATAGTACAGCATGGATCACAGCCTGGACTGTCTCTAAGAGAGCTAGGAAATGTTTGGAGAAGCCACTCATCCTGTTTTCCTGTTGGGCCTTGCTATTTTCAGAGCCTTGACTTCAGTGTGGATGAGAAGGTGAATCTTTTGGAGCTGACCTGGGCCCTTGAGAATGAGCTCATGATGATCCGTGGTGCCACTCAGCAGGTGGCTTTGTCCTGCTACCGCCAGGAGCTGAGATTCTGCCAGTAAGAGCCCTAATGTTGTTGGGGTGGAATCAGCTGGCCCAGCTGGCCTGGTAGGAGGTATCCAAGGAAACTGGCATTCTGCCCTCATCTACCCAAAGTAACCAGTCCCATGAGTAGGGGTTACACATTTCCCACTGGCTTTTCTTTAGCTGTTGCTCTCAGTGGGACAGTGAAAAAGCTGAACAGTAAGAGAAAGATGAGGTCTCCCCATCCCTCAAGTTTCATCTATATGTGTGATTTGAGCGGGGCCTGAGGACCAATGACTGCTGCTTGGGCTTTTGTGGCCAGAATTTAAGGGCGACTGGCCTTCTTTCTTACTTGGTAAGAATCTTAGAAATCTATGTCAAAGTCCCTTTTAGCAAGATTCCAAAGAGAAGAATTTGAGCTTGACACTCATCCTACTTAGTCAGCAGAATGTGCTTCTAAGAGCAGCCAGGAGTGCACTCAGGTCTGGGTGGCTGGCTAAAGAGGAAAAAGCAGTATTCTTCAGACATTGTCACCAAATGCTAAGGGATAGGCCAAAAATACATTCCACTTTAATTAGGTTCAGTTTTGATTTAGCTGAATATTCAAGCTCGAGGGTGGTGGCCGGGGGTAGGTGGGGAGCTCTGTGCTCCTTCAGTGGGAGAAATCATCACCAGAATAGTGGGTCCTAGGAATGAATTGAGTCTCCTGGCAGGCAGGGGAGGTTGTGACTGGACAGACTGAGGGCCACACACACAGATGGCCATCTGTTCTGGGTGACTCATTTTATACTCACTCAGATGCCAGACTACAGGTGTTGGGGCTGTGAACAGACAGGGTATTGGATGGCTAGCCTTTTCCCCTCATGTGTCCAATCTCAAATTAGGTACTGGGGACAAACTTCCAGCTGTAGACCTGAGGACATACAGAAAAATTCTCATCTGTTCTGTGGCCATCTGGAGCTGTGGCACACTTTAAGCCTTGAGGCTTGACTTCTTTGGTTCAGAAACCTTCTAGAAACTTCCCTTGGCAATTCATTTAACCTCTCTCTAAGTATGTACATCTATAAAATGAGCATAGTAATTGTACAAATCTCTTTAGGAGATGATTGGTGGTGGTGTGAAGTTAGAGCATGGCACAGCGCTGGGCCATCCCATGCACCCAGCAAATGCCAGCTCTTTCTATCATTTACGCGGACACAGAGCTCACTGGCCCCAGAACATGTGTACCATTAACCCTGGTTTTTTTTTCCTGCGGCAGGAGTCAAGTAGAGCAGATGGTGAGGGAGCGAGACAAGGCAAGGCAGGATCTAGAGAAAGCTGAGAAGAGGAACCTGGAATTTGTGAAAGAGATGGATGATTGTCACTCTACACTAGAACAACTTACAGAGAAGAAGATCAAGTAGGTCCTGCCAGTGGTGTCTGAGCCCAGAGCTGCAGCTTCTTGGCACCAGTGCAGCTGTTCCCCATAACTGAGGGCAGGTGGTAGATACAGGACTTCTACCAGCCAAGGCTGTGATCATAAACACAGCAGAGCCCAGACCCTCCTATTTCACCTGGGCCAGTAGAAATCTGGAAGACACACCTTTGGGAATACCCTTCCTTGAAAGAAGAGGGAATGGTGCATTTAAAAAGTGGTCTTGCTCTTTATGATGGGTCGCACGGTACAGTGGTATCTAGCCATACATGCCTGTGAGCTGTAGGGAAAATTCCCCTCTGCTGACCTCATTCCCTTCTGTTTCATTTATGGGATCTGTCCCATTCAAGCCAAGCATTCTATGTGTATCTATAATCAGTGAGACAGATGGACATTTTAATAGAGGGCTAATGAATGGCTTTGGAGCTTATTGGCTCAGCAGAAAGGAGCCTGACATGGTGGAAGGGCTCAAAGCCCAAAACCTGACTGCAGGTATTTCACCAGACAGTGGGTAGAGCAGACTCCTAGTGGGCAGTCTACACTACCTATTGGGCTGGTGCCTGAACAGACCAGAAGAAATTATTTCTGACCTTTTTTATGGACATATCACCTTTAGTTTATTAAAGAAAACAGATGACGAGATCCAGCCCCTAAGGATTTCCCAGGTGGGGCCGGCAGAGAGAGGGTTTTTCACCCCACTGCCTACACTAGGCTCCCCTGAAAGAGCTTTATAGTAGTTCAATTTCTCAAAGCTTTTGTCACTCAAAGGTGTCTCCTCATCAATAACAAAGAATTTATACTGTGGAAAAACCAGTATCCCACACTCAGCCCTCAGCTATGCTCCTGGTGGGGTGCAAAGGGGTTCTGGACACCCCTACCTTCTCTCTCACCTGTGTGAGAAGAAAAGCTGCGTTCAGAGGGGCTAACAATGATTTTAGAGTTCTGGGTCTATTGCTTCCTCAGTGGACAGAGCCCCTCAGATTCTTCACCTGTAAAGTGAGAGTGATAATCTTATCTATCCTTGCCTTAGAGCACTCAGCACAGAGCCCTGTGCATCTCTACCTGTGTCATAGCTATGCTTATGTCTCAGCAAAATGAGTAGTGAGAAAGAGAAGCAGCAGCTCAGGTGACACAGGTGGTTTCAATGAGCAGCTGTCTGAGAAAGCTTGTGATGAGGCTCTGGGACATGGCTTCTCCCTGTTGCATGTAGCTGTGACACTTGAAGGGTAACACTTTTCTTACAACAGCCCTCTTGGCAAGGTTTGTTGGTATCATGGTATGATGGACATACAACCTCCACATAATCCTGGGTTGGGTGTAGGGATTTCAAGGGACTTTCACCTGCCCCACTCTTACTTAATGTGGCTTTTAAGCACAGTTCCGAGAAAGTCTTGCTTTTGCCATGTGCCATGGCCACCAAACTCTCATTCTGCAGCCTCATTTTTCATAAGGAAGAAAGGTAGCAAGGAGGAATTGAAGGAGCCTGTGGGTATAACTGGCTTACCTAGGGCTCTGTGGGTCTGCAGGGCAGCCACAGCAGATAGGAGGGGTGTTAATAGCCATGTGGTGCCAGTTGATTGTATCCCATTAGACCAAAAATGTCAAACTAATTTTCACAAGGGTCCACATCAGCCTCACAGTTGCCTTCAAAGGGCCAAAAATAATTTTAGGACTATATAAAGGTAACTATCCCTTAACTAGGGGCAAGGAGCCTGGCGCTGCCTCTGAGTAGAAACAAGGTGCTGGGCTGGATAGAACAAGGTAGAGGGCTGGATTCAGCCCATGGGCCTTGTGTTTGCCACCTGTTCATTAGACAATGGGGCTTAAACCAAAGAGCATATTTCTTTTCCTCCAAAGATACCCTGACACCTCTGCTGTGCAGCCAGGGGTCTAGATATTGAGCATATGGGTTTCAGCCCTGTAAGAAGGAGCTTCTGGCCTCTAAAACTACTACTGTGTCATGAAGCTCCTGTTATGTGCCACGTGTTCCTTGACTTACCACCATAACCACAAATTGGTCATTTTATTTCTATTTTAAATCAAAGAAACTGTGTCTTGGATCTGTACAGTTAACTCATCCACAATCAAACCAGTGTGGCCTGAAGTTTAAACCCCAGGTGTCTCTTCTTTATCTTATGCTATTTTGGAGGGAGGATAGGCCCAGACCTATTTTATCCTGAGGGTATAAGAAATGGACCTTTAAACAAGAGGAGCCCTGAGAGGTAGAGAGCTTGTCACTTTCCCAGGATGGGGTTGTCCAGAGCCACATAACCACCATCCTATGTCCACTCACAAGAGCCCCATGGCTCCTTCTCCACATACCCAGGGTTCATGGAAAGAGCCCTGGCTATCCCTCCTAGAATTGCCAGTCTATGGGGGAGCAGCCTCAAATCTGAGTCCGCACACTTCCCAATTCCAAAGGCCTGGGTCCTCTTTTCCTTCCCAGGAATGGCTAGGGCAGGGCAAAAGCAGCAGGTTTAGTTACTGGTATGTTCACCAGTTGGAATTCTCACCTACCTCTGTGTGGTGTTGAAGAGTACGTGAGAGATGGCATCAAGGGGCATGAGTGTGTGGGAATATGTGTAGGTATAAGTGTATGAGTGTAAATGCATGGGTATGAGTTCAGGTGCGGGTGTGAGCATACAACCATGCGGATTCACTTCCACCAGGTCCTGCGCTCTTAACAGGATGATGGGAATTTTTAGGAAATATAAAAATTAAGTATTCTTTCACCAAACTTTTAAAACTGTTTCCAATCAAACCTGAGAAACTAAATAAATATGGCCTCACTATAAGGTGGTGTTGCAAGGCTCCAAAGCCCCAATGTGGGAAGATGGGCCATGGGCACCTTGACTTCCACCTAGATGCACTGACCATGGCCCTGCTGAGCCCTCTCAGTATGGAACATGTAGAGCATTCATCACAAAGGAACATTTAGTTAGGAAATAACTGGATTTTGTTTCTGTTCTTGTCAACAATTGACTGTGTTTAGCTTGTTCCCTTGGCATGTTCATCCATAAGCTTACCTGTTTACCATTTCTTGCTGAGCAAGCTTCGGTGGGTGAAACTAGAAAATTCAAACTGTTGACCATTATAGCTACAGTTGTTTAACTTTGCTCATCTGAGATAGTCTCCTTAGTTTCCTGACTTTACAAAATAGGATGTTAGGTCACTGTGGGTTTCCACACAGTGAAATTATTACTAAAAAAAAACAGGAGCTAAGCCCTGACCAGTATGGCTTAGTTGGTTGCGCATCATCCCACAAAGAGAAAGGTCGCTGGTTCAATTCCCCATCAAGGCACATGCCTAGGTTGTAGGTTCTGTCAATGTTTCTCACATCAGTGTTTCTCTCCCTCCCTTTTTATCTCTCCCTTCACCTCTTAAAAAAAAGGAAAAAAAAACAAGAAAAGAAAAGTCAGGAACTGAAAAAATCATGAAAGAAGCCAACAGTGCAATTGCTAGCGCATTTTCCCCTCTTTCTTGATACCTCCTCTAGTCTCTGAATTGCCCTTTTAACAATATGCTGTCATCAGCCTCCTCACAAATTTGGAAGCCCTGGGATCTCACCTGAGTGTGTATAGGACTGATTCTAACCATCCTGATTGATGCCACTGAGACCTTGGGTTGCTGCCTCTTTGAGAACCAGGGGAGACAAATGTCCACCAGGGCCTCTTTTAACTGCAGCAACCTGGTTTTCACATGACCTTCTTTATGCAGCACTGCTAGCTCCTCAGCCCTCAGTGTTTTTCTTTTTTTTTTTTTATTGATTATGCTGTTACAATTGTTCTATTCCCCCTTTCATTCCCCTCCACCCTACCCCCTATCCCCACCATTACCCCCCCTTTAGTTTATGACCATGTGTCTCAAGTCCTTTAGATTCTATATTTCCCATGCTATTCTTGCCCCTACCATCTATTTTCTATCTACTGTCTATGCTACTTATTTTCTGTACCTTCTCCCCCCTTCTCCTCCTCCCACTCCCCTGTTGCTAACCCTCCTTGAGATCTTCATTTCTATGTTTCCACTCCTGGTCTAGCTGTCCTTTTAGTTTGCTTTCATTTAGGTGTGGTTGTTAATAACTGTGAGTTTGTTGTCCTTTCACTGTTCATGTTTCTTTAACTTCTTTTTCTTAGATAAGTCCCTTTAACATTTCGTATAATAAGGGCTTGATGATGATGAACTCCTTGAATTTGATATTATCTGAGAAGCATTTTATCTGTCCTTCCATTCTAAATGAAAGTTTTGCTGGATAGAGCAATCTTGGTTGTAGGTCTTTGGATTTCATGACTTGGAATACCTCTTTCCAGCCCCTTCTTGCCTGTAAGGTCTCTTTTGAGAAATCAGCTGACAGTCTGATGGGGACTCCTTTGTAGGTGACTGTCCCCTTAGCTCTTGTTGCTTCTAGGATTCTCTCCTTCATTTTAATCTTGGGTAATGTAATGATGATGTGCCTTGGTGTGTTCCTTCTTGGGTCCAACTTCTTTGGGACTCTCTGAGCTTCCTGGATTTCCTGGAAGTCTATTTCCTTTGCCAGATTGGGGAAATTCTCCTTTATTATTTGTTCAAATAAGTTTTCCACTGGTGGCTGTTCCTTTCCCCCTTCTGGTACCCCTATAATTCGGATGTTGGAGCATTTAAAGATGTCCTGGAGGTTCCTAAGACTCTCCTCATTTTTTTGAATTCTTGCTTCTTGACTCTTTTCTGTTTGCCCATTATTTGCTTTCTTCTGATCCACTCCATTGATTTGAGTCCCAGTTTCCTTTTCATTGCTATTGATGTCCTGTGCAATTCCATTCATTTCAATTAGTTTCGCCTTCATATATTTGTCTAATTTGTGGCTATAATCAACCAGTTTTGTGAGGATCCTGATGACCAGTGTTTTAAACTGTGTGTCTGAGAGTTTTGCTATTTCTTCATCGCTTAGATCTATGGGCTCTGGGGCTTTGAGATCTTCTTGCACCACTTTTGGTCTGTTCGCGCCCTTTAAGTGTGAGAAGCGGCGCCTTGGACTCCCAGGTCACTGGGTTATGACGCTGTATGTGGAGGTGGGGTCAGAGCAGGGAAACGGCGGCGCTCTCCCTGCTGCTTGCCGCGGCACCCGCTGGGTCCCGGTCCAATCGCCCACTTCCTTGCCTGTCCACCCGCGCACAAATGCGCGACCACAGTCAACACGCAGCCCCGCTCCCCTGCTGTCTCCTCCGCGGTCGCTCGCCTGGTCGCTCGGTGGGTTGCTCACTAGGTCCAACCCCGCGCCTGGGTTCCGCGTGCCTGGATTCCGTGCATCTGGATTCCGCGCGCCTGACTGAGTCCGTCCGACCGAGTTTTCGTGTGCAACCTAGCTTCACCAGCTGCTGGTTTTTCCCCGTTACCGGTCAGGCTGAAGAATTTGTTGTTAATGGACTTCCGAAAAGTTCAATTTTCCGTGTTCTGGCTGTGTTTTCTGTTGCTTAAATATTTAGTTGTCTCTAAACTTGGTTGTGTGAGAAGGCACGGCACATCCACCTATGCCTCCATTGGCGGAAGTCCAGCCCTCAGTGTTTTTCAAGAAGAAAACTCCTTTTTTTTTAAACAGTTGTGTTTGGCCCTGAGAAGGGGCACCCACCTTCCTGTCCCAGAGTTAGGATATAAAGGAGGGCCCCTGGCCTCAGAACACATGCAGTTTTGCTGAGGAACAGTGACCCTATCTGTCAAGCAAGAACTATTGAATCTAAGACAGTGTGATCAAGTGCTCCATGCAGGGGTATTCCAGGGGAGGAAGAGGTCTTGTTGGCTGGAAAGGTATCCCTGGAAAGGCAGAGCCAGATGGGCCTGAGCAGCACCCTTGGAAGCCTATTGTGACGTGCTGTTTTATGCCTTACAGACACATGGAGCAGGAGTACAGAGAACGGCTGAGTCTCCTGCGGTCCGAGGTGGAGATGGAGCGTGAGATATTTTGGGAACAGGCCTGTAGGCAGAGGGCCATGCTGGAGAAGGACCTGCAGCACCTGCAGGCTGAGGAGGCCAGCCTCCAAGATAAGCTAACCCTGGCCCTGAAGGTAGGTAAGAAGACAAAAATAAAGGGAGAGGAGAAGTGCCTCCCCAGGGTACCCCACCCAGAAAAGAAAATACAGAAATGAGGTTGCCTGCAGGTTCCTCTTCTCACACCCCACATTTTTCTAGTTAAGGATTCAACTCTTCCTATTAGCCTTAAGAAGTTTGCATTTCTGTAATAGGGAAATCCCTAGGATTTCAAATGAAGGAATATTTGCTGCAGCCGTAAAGATAAGACACTTCTCAACCAGAGCAGAAGGGGTCCTGCCTCTTTAGGATGGGCATTGCTATCCAGTTGTGAGGACAGCAGGACAGTGGGAGACCCACAGGCCTCTTGCTCTGTGCTCTAAGTCTGTAGACCAAGGTTAGGGAGGGTCAGCAGCCAGTTTTGCTATACCCCTGGAGACAAGAGCACCTGTGGCATGAACAAACCTAAAGTTCACCTACTGCCTCTGGGTGTAGCCTGGGGCAGGTGTGGTTTCTGGGCTTTGGTGAGTATCCCTCAAATCCTCACTCATCCTGAATTTGAGTACAGTGAGTTGTCCCCGGGGCCCTTCTGTGCTCCTGCCTTCCCCTTCCTCTCCTAACTCAGAGCATGTGGATTCTTTCCTCACCTGCCTACCTCTCTCAGTCTTTCTCCTGGAGGAAAAAGCCAGGCACCCCAGAAGCGTCTAACAGCAGCATGCACAGGGCCTGCCTGCACTGCCTGCCAGGCTCTCCACAACATTGTGTCTTCACCTCTCTTCTTTTCCCTATGGGAAACCTCACTGGTTTCCCTATGTATATCTGAGCTGTAGTGGTATAATATCAAATCCCTCATTTAGAAAATGGCTCAGAAGGGCTTGCCACTAGCCTTTTCTTATGATACTCATGACCTGAGCACTTGGATTGAGAGAAGCAGAGGCAATGGGAAAAGCAATGAACATTGGTGAGGGCTCTGTGAGGTCTGTCCCTGGGCTGCTCTAGATTGGCACCTGGGACAGCCTTCTCTGCATGGTGTCAAGGCAGTGAATACCAGATTCCATGAGGTTTCTTCCCTGATTATGAGTACTACTGGGAATAAGTCCTTCACTTAAAGAGGAGACAGACCTGCCAACAGCTCACTCTTCCACTCTCAAAGTCTGGCAAACCTCTGACCTGTGTCTTATAGGAAAACAGTCTATTGCAGAAGGAGATTACTGAAGTTGTGGAAAAACTTTCGGAATCGGAGAAGCTTGTCCTGAAACTGAAGAATGATCTGGATTTTGTGTTGAAAGATAAGGTAAGTCCTTTTGCTAAGTTTTAGTCTTTAGAAAAGAGCCTGTAGTGCTGGGTAAAATGTATCAGGGTCTTGAAAAAGATACCTAGGTGGCTGAATTTGTTGTGGGTTTTTTTTTCTGTTAAATTTATAGAATGGAGAGAAAATTAGCAAAGTGACTTTTCCCCTGTTTTCCTGCCCTTCAGGCCAATGCTGGGGTGTCATATGCTCTGGTGACAACTTGCACATTGGCCTTTTAATGAAAAGACCAGGGCCAGCTGGCACCATCTATGCCAGCAACAGGTTGTCAGTAATGAGAGGCATGGAGGAGAGGTTAGAGGTTGGTGCCCACCATTAAGTCCCCACCCCCACCTGGAGGCCCTGCCCATCACCTGGGGAGGAGATGGAGAGAGAAGTTGCTGTACCGGGAAAGCATCCAGGCAGGGAGTGGCCCAGGGGGCCAAGGCAGGTGCATACTACTGCCCGGAAACCTTTTAAACAAAGGGAGAGAGGGGAGGAGGAGGAAAGGACTGGAGGGCTGTACTTGGATATGCTGAACCTTGTGTAAAGAGTATGAAGGGGTGACAGCATGCATTCTATTTGGCCGGACAATCTGTCTGTAATTTTCCTTTGCTGGTATGATCTCCAGTTGGAGCCACAGAGCACAAAACTCTTGGTCCAGGAGGAGCAATTCAAGAAGGTCCTAAAGGAGTACGAGCTCAAGTGCAGGGTATGTGCCCAACCCAGCCCCTTTACCTTTCTGAGCCTTAGGGTTTTCTTTGTGTTGTACTAGGCCAGGCCCTTACTTTTGTCTTTGCTGCACAGGGCCCTCACACACTCCTGTCCCATCATACCCCCAGCCCCTGCCAGCCCATCCTACAGGAGGGGTGGTTATGTCTAAGACTCTGGCCCTCCCTTTAGGGACCTCCTCTTTCATAAGGCTGTGATACTATCTCCTGGCCACTCCTGAGAAGAATGGGATGCTGGAAACCATGAGACAGGCTGGCTCTGCAAGTCATCAGGGTCTTTCTGGCTCTGACTGGGGTGGTGGTATACAGGCTTTATCCCTCCCAATCTTGCCCAGGAAATGGCCTGGCATTTTTGGTGGGCCACTCCTGGCCTCCACTTGAAGGGTGATCCAACATGGGATGGCATTGCTACCAGACAGGGACTGGGATCAAATCTGCCTCAGGCCAGCCTGTAGTGTGTGGGTTCTTGTTTTTGTACAGAAAAGATTTCACAACTTGAGTCTAGGTGGTTTTGAGAGTACATTTATTAAAGCTGGGGACAGTGAACTAAAGGAAGGACATAGAGTAGGAGAAACAGTGGAGAAGTTAGGTGGTACTCTGGTTTGGCTCCCTCAAAACATAGGAAACAAGTGAGCCAACACTGTGCTGCTTTTAGCTTACTTGGACAGTCAGAGAAAAGGGGGGCCTTGGAGACAGGATCAGGGAGTAAGCCCAGGATGAGCTGCTGCTGCTCATTGCTCTCCTGGTTGCCATACTCATGGGAAGACTCCTTAGAGTCTAGGAGGAAGCAAAAAAGTTTATGCCTAAGAAGGAGTATTGGGCATGTTCTAGAGCAGGGGTGTCAAACTCATTTTCCCTGGGCACTATATCAGCTTCATGGTTGCCTTCAAAAGGCCGAATGTAATTTCAACTCCTTAACAGTTAAGGAGTTAACAGTTAAGGAGTAGTTACATTTATACAGTCCTAAAATTATTTCGGCCCTTTGAAGGCAACCACAAGGCTGATATGGCCTCCAGTGAAAATGAGTTTGACACCCCTGCTCTAAAGCGAGCCCATACTCAGTCTTTTTCTTGAGAATTTTTATCTCTTTTGTATGTGAGAATCTTAGGGGACAGTTTTAGCAGAATATTCATTAGCTTTCTAGGTGTATTTTTAATATTCTAGAGCATCAAAATGAGTGTATAGGGGAGCTTGGGATTATTCTTTGGTCTGCTTTTTTTTAAGGTTTTATTTATCTTTAAAGAGAGGGAAAGTGAAGGAGAAAGACAGGGAGAGAAACATCAGCGTGTGGTTGCCTCTCATATGCCCATCACCAGGGGCCTGGCCAGTGACCCAGGTGTGTGCCCTAACTGGGAATTGAACCAATAACCCTCTGGTTCACAGGCTGGCACTCAGTCCATTGAGCCACACCAACCATGGCTGGTCTGCTTTATTTTATTTTTATCTTGGATCTATCTGGATTTAATGGGGGGGTTGTTATTTGTTTCTTTGCCTTCATCTGTTCTTGGGTTTAGTTGGCACAAGTGTTATTAATTGGGTCTCTGTTCTCTATTTTCCAGACCAGGGGGACTTAAGCTACGTATTCCCTGGTTAGGAAGGAGAGGTATGAACCGTTTGTTCTCAAGTGTCCTTGGTTAGGGAAGATAAGGTCTTGTGATTCACTAGCTGGCTGTAAGTTGTTCAAATTGTTTAATTTTCTTGTCTCAGTTTCCCTATTCCACTTGCCCAGGAATTGTCCTAGCTTTTTACTATCCTATCTTATCAGGAACATCCTTCTCTGAGCACAGCAGGTATAGCCTCTTATCTGGGCCTGCATTCCACTGACAGAGTCCTCCAAGCCTTATGTTCTGTGAGAAGGTGGAACAGGACTTGCCTGCTTAGCACCTGTGTTTTGCCCCACATGGACTGGCCAAAGTCATTAGACCAGCACCAATTCTGAAGGCTCCTCTGTATTTCTAGGCAGTATGTCAGGCTTCATTTTGTATTCTGTTGTTGAGTATTTAGATTTTCTGGGCTAAACCTACCATTGTTGATCCATTTAACTGGAGGTACCTCAGTGTAGAGCAAGATAGAGATGGTAAACGATGTCAGTGGTACTGACCCCATTATACTCGTAAAATGATTGAGGAACTCAACAGAAAATAACATTATTGTTAGACATTAAGAGTCTGTTAACAAGTCACTTCTTAATGGTTTCCCTCCAAATTAAAGTAAAAAGTGACTTTTCTTCCTGTTGTATATTGCTTTGGTAACACCAGAGGATAAAGCTGAGCCCAAGCTGTTCTGGAGTATGACATGGTCTTCTGTTTCCTGCCCTGTGTTCTCTTCTCCACTCCAAACTCTGAATCCTGGGTGCCCTTATGAAAGTCCTATGTGTGGTCAGCTGTGGCACTCTCCTCCTGAACCAGATGGCTGTGGGGCAGACGGTGGTCAGGGTGGTGGGGCTGTTGTGCAGGTGGGATGTGCCATACAACTTTCTGCTGTGTTTTCACCCTTTTTTTAACTTGTTGAAAACACTTAGAACCTATAACTAGCCATTAATTTATATGTTTCTTTACTGCAGTGATTTTCCACCTTTTTCATCTAGTGGCATACATAAACTAATTACTGAAATTCTGCAGCTCATGGAAAAATATATTTTTTGCCTATCTGACAAAAAATAGGTGTAATTCTAATTAATTCACACCAGATGATTATTGTTCTGTCAGCTCCTGTCATTTTTTTTATTTGACAGTCTAAGGGAAAAGGAGTCAGTGCCCCTGACTAAATAGTCAGATATTTCATGTTTTAAAAATTCTTGCAGCACATCAGTCAAAAATCATTGCTATTGATTTTTCAAAGAAGTATAAACCCCATCTTTCTTTAATGTGACTCTGTTACTTAAATAACTGTTACACATTTCACTTTTGGTCTTGAAATTTTACTTTTTGAAACAGCAGAAATATTTTACATTTTTGTACATTATTTATTTAGAAAATTTCCCTCTATTTTGGGGGATATTTTTGGTTTTTTTGAACTTACATTTAGAGTGTTAAAAAACCTTTTTTAAAAAATATATTTTATCGGGGGATGCTGGGAAGATGGCGACGGAGTAGGATGGAGCTGATTCTAGCTCCTGTACTCATGAGTGAAAATCCTGGCAGATCTATAGAGAAACAGCACAATAAACCATCAGTTACCCAGCATTTATGAAATTAAAACACCAGAGATTGTGACCGACGCTGAAACACCAGACAGCGGCAGAGTCAGCTACTGGAGCTGGGACACACGCGGCCCCTGTGCTGCCGCCAGAGCAACAGCCCTGGGAGCCGGGGAATCAGGTATGGGAGCCGGACATTCCAAGCCCCTGTCATGGTCCTGGGCGACAGAGGAGTCAGGTACCAGAGCTGGGACATTCTCAGCCTCTGTGCCGCTGTCATAGCTATGGGCCTGGGCAACAGAAGAGTCAGTTGCAGGAGCTGGGACACTGGAAGCCCCTGTGCGGCTGCCATAGCAACGAGACTGGACGCCGGGGAGTCAGGTACTGGAGCCGGGACATTCTCAGCCTCTGTGCCGCTGCCATAGTGACAGGACTGGATGCAGGGGAGTCAGGTATGGGACCCAGGACACTCCAAACCCCTGTGACGGTCCTGGGCAGCAGAGGAGTCAGCTACGGGAGCCAGGACACTAGAGGCCCCTGTGCCACTGCCATAGAGAGGGGCCTGGGCACCAAGGAGTAAGCTACTGGAGCCAGACACTCCAAATCCCTGTGACGAGCCTGGGCTCCAGAGGAGTTAGCTACGGGAGGCAGTCAGGACATTCTTGGCCCCTGTGCTGCTGGTGTAGTAATGGGCCTGGGCGCTGGAGGAGTTGGCTACTAGAGCTGGGACATTCAGCAGTGGTAGGCGACCAGCGCGGGGACCAGCGCGAGGACCAGCGTGAGAGTAGGTGGAGACGGAGAACATCAAGAAACTTGAAGGAGTCTGCACCACTGAACATCACACGTATCATACCACAGAAGTTCACACCATAAACCCAGGGTGTCAGAAAAGATCAATTTTAGAAGCTGAGACTAACAGGGAGAGTCTCAAACAATGGGAAGACAAAAAAACAATCCCCAAATGAAAGAAAAAGCAGAAAATTCAGAAAGAATGTTAGATGAAGTAGAGGCTAATCAGCTATCAGATAGTGAATTCAAAGCACGGGTTATTACGAACTTCGAACAGCTCACAATGAGCTATCAGAAACTACAGGGGAACTACAATGATCTCTGCAAACTACATCAACATGAAAAAGGAAATAGAAAATATTAGCAAGGGACAAGAGGAAATGAAGAATACAATTTCCAAATTGAAGAACACAGTAGAAAGTTTCACAAGTAGGATAGTTGAAGCGGAGGATAGGATTAGTGAGTTGGAGGACAAGGTAAAAAGCATCTCACAGAAAGAGCAAGAAAATGAAAAGAGGCTCCGAAAGAATGAAGAGGGATTAAGAGAAATGCAAGACAATATGAAACGTAATAATATCCGAATAATAGGAATACCAGAAGGAGAAGAAGAAGAACAAGGGAGAGAAAACGTATTTGAAACAGTAATGAGAGAAAATTTCCCTAATTTGATGTGAGAAAAAGTCACACAAACCCAGGAATCACAGAGAGTCCCAATCAAGAGGAACCCAAGGAGGCCCACTTCAAGACACAGCACCATCAAAATGGCAAAATTCCAAGAAAAAGAGAGAATCTTAAAGGCAGCAAGGGAGAAAAAGGAAGTAACATACAAGGGAGCCCCAATAAGGTTAACTACTGACTTCTCAATGGAAACACTCCAAGCAAGAAGACAATGGCAAGAAATATTCCAAGTAATGAGAACCAGAGGCCTACACCCAAGGCTACTTTACCCAGCAAGGCTCTAAATCAAGATAGAAAGGCAAATAAAGAGCTTCTAAGACAAAAGAATCCTAAAACAATACGCCTCCACCAAACCAGCTCTACAAGAAATGCTAG